ACCACTCTGCTACCAGAGCTCCTTAAAGAAGAGTTAGTGATTAGAATTACCGTGTGTGTCAAGCTCAGATCTTGTTTATGTGTTTCTTATGTTTATGTTCAGATCTTTGCACTCATGGTACAAACTTTCAGAGAGTATCTTTTTCCTTTCATTTGACATTTTCCACAATGTACTGCATAATCTTATGAGTATATATTATGGTTACTCGATGGGCAGCTAACCACAAGGTCAACAGTTTGAGTCTACAATCCAATCTGTGGAATAAAGAGGACACTTTCTGCTCCCATAATGATTTACAGCCTCAGGAATTTTACATATAGGGTTACTATAAGTCCTGATGTGGCGCTGTGGGTTGATGCGCCAGACTGCAAAGCCGTTTGAACTGCAAGGTTGGCAGTTCAAGCTCACCAGCTTCTCCTCAGAAACCCTATACAGGGTCGCTATGGGTTGGAACTGACTCAACAGCACTTAACAACAACAACATAAGTCATAATCAATTCAATGACAGTGGCTTTTATTTTTCTAAACCTCACATCAGTCTGTATCTTAACCTTTTTATTTCTCATTGTTTCCCCTGATAGTTTCCTTTCCAGAAGCCTAGTGTCTTAAACATGGTAGGTGATCAATAAATATTTATGGACAATTATAATGATCTGAATCATTTACTTCTTTTTATCAATTATCACCAAAGCTTTTTAATTTCTAAAACATTATGACAAGTTAAGCTTTGAGCTATTCAACATTAAAACAGATAGCGTCTGTTAAAAACACCTGCCCTGCCTCAAGCTCTTTTCTAAGTACTTTGCTATCATCAATGTTGAGTCTTTAAAAGAAGAGTTTTAAATGAATAAACAAATACATTTTTACATTCACATGTGTGCGGTTGTATGTAGTATCCCATGGGATGTTGCTATTGTTATGTGCCATGGTGTCAATTCAGACTCATAGGGTCCCTCTGCACAACAGAAACACTGCCTGATTCTCTGCTATCCTTTCAATTGTTGCTAAGCTTGATCCTATTACTGTTGTCACTCTGTCAGTTTGTCTCATTGGGGGTTGTCCTCTTTTCCGCTGACCCTCCATTTTACCAATCATGATATCCTTCTCCGGGGACTGGTCGCTCTTGATAATGTGTCCAAAGTATGGAAGATGAAGTATCAGTCTCTATATTAAGTGAAATGTGTGTCCTCTGTCCTAGGCTCTGAACGTATTCAGGAATATCTCTTGTCCTTCAATCAAGAAGCTCCCCTTTTCTTTATAAGAGTAAACGTTAGGATGTAACATTTTGTACTTCATGGATTGGACCCTTAGAAGTGTTATAGTATGGATGGATTTGGTTTTATAAATTTTTTTTGCCAATGACTTGTTTTTGCTAAGTGCTGTCGAGTTGGTTCCCACTCGCAGTGACCATGTATTGAGTTTCCCAGCAATAGCTGGTTGTTTTGAACCACTGATTTTGCTTTCAGCAGTCTTATAGCATCACGCTAGGAGTCCAATGACTGTTGTTGTTGTTAAGTGCCCTTGAATCGATTCCGACCCATAGCGACCCTGTATAGAGTTTCCAAGGAGCAGCCGGTGAGCTTGAATCACTGACTTTGAAGTTCAAACGATTTTGCAGTCTGACGCATTAGTCCACAGTGCCACACCAGGACTCCAATAACTAGAAACATTTAAATTAAGATGATTTGATTTTTTATTTACTTTCAGAAAATACATAATTTTGATAATTTATAATCATTAAGGGTAACAGAATATATGTGACAAAATATACCTTGAAAACTTCAATTCTTTAAAAATATTTTTAACAAGAAAAACTTGGTAAATTCATAAATGCCAAAAAATTGAATTGGAGTAGTGAAAGCAGTTGCTGCTTTTATTACAAGAAACTATTATTTGTGGAGATTACTGTTAACAGGGCAAATTCACTAAATAAAATTGAGATATTACCTTAAAATATTAATAATGCAACTTACATCAGTTTCTCAGGGAATTAGCTGCAATTTAGGAAATAAAAAAGAGCCTCTATTTGTTAACTCAAATTATCAGTATTTTCGTTTTATATTCAAATTACATTTTAAGCATGTGTACAGATTATAGTGTGCATAGGAAACTAACCTCAAGGGGGTTGTGCAGTTTGCAAATTATGGATAATGCGCTCCTTATTTACGTGGAAAAACAAACAGAAAAAAGGTAGTTCCTTGAACTTTGGTTTAGCGAGTATTCAGGAATTTTATGTAAAACCAGGAAACAGAGAGGAGGGATAGAGCTGTACAATGGACCTCTTGGCTAATTAGAATTAGAATTATCTTGAAATTTAGCGATAGTGTGTGACTTTCTTCCAGGTGTTTAGTTGAAAAACAGGTTGAACTCTTCTCCAGTGGTGGTTTGGTCTGCTTGTGTTTGTTTCTCTGTACTGCTGTGCATACGACCAGAACTCCCATGCTGGCTGGCTGGCTGTGTGCCGTGGAGTCGATTCCGACCCATAGCGACCCTGTACAGGGTTTCCGAGGCTGTAAATCTTTACGGGAGCAGAACTCCTCATCTTTGTCCCGCGGAACAGCTGGTAGTTTCGAACTGCTGACCTTGCGGTTCGCAGCCGGATTCGTAACCACTATGCTACCAGAACTCCATAGAAAGGATTATTTTCCTGCGTTGTGCAGACTGGCTCCTTGACATCGTAATTGCTGCCACTGGCAGTCCACGAACTCTATATTCCTTTATATTTTGCCTCATCCTCATCTCACCAGAAAACACAGTATCAATAGCCGCACTTAGAGTTTTTCTTCTTTCCCTTTCCGCCTACCTCCTACCCCTCCCTAGACTTCTCTGGGCTTTGACGTCATGTGTGCTCCTTTCAGTTGTCATAGCAACCCCATTCCCCAAGCCCTCTGTCCGTCTCCTCTGGTAGGTTCCACAATGGTACAGGCGGCATCACGCTGCACAATGGTTTCCAGGCAGTGAAAGAGAGTGATTCAGCAAGGCACTTGTCTTCTTTTACAACCTCCCCTTTGCTTTTTATTTTTATGGGGGTGGGTGGTACTTGTTTTATGCTTGCCCTTTTCTTTTCTTTTGCAATTTTTTGCAATTTTTCTTTTTCCCTTCACCCCTCAATTTCTAGGGGCTTTGAGTGACTTTAAGGTCGAATGTTCTTGGAAATTACCTATCCATCATTAATTTAAAGCAATCTCCCCACCTCCAAAGAATATCTTCCTTGTTACACTTTGGAATGTGGTGCATGAAAGACAAGTAGGGAGGATTTGGGGGGCAAACGCTGCCGATCAGGATCCTAGTTCTCAGGAGCGGAATGGTAGGTGTCTCTTTGCTTATTCCTGGTTCTAACCTGTTTTTGGAGGGTGGGGTGATGGCTGTTGATTGCTCCAGATGGGGCAGGAGAGCAGGTGATGGGAAAGGGGAGACGTGGGATTGAAAGCAGGTTAATGAAGTGAACTACCTCTGAGGCAAGAAGCCACCAGCCTTTGCCTCCGTGTGGAGCATCTTTCTCCAGACTTGGGCGTGTTGCAATCTTTCTGTTTTGAGTAAGGGGTGGCAGAGTGAGGGAGGAAGCATTCTTATTGTGGCCAGGGGTTTTAAACTAATGCAGAGCTACAGAAGGAGAGGGGGCAAAAAAGAGGGAGAGAGAGCGCGCAGCTGTGCTTGCTAGAAGTGCTGACCTCAGTCCCATTTCTGAGAAATGACATGGTTCTATAGGAAATTAAAAACAATGCCTTTAAATGTACATGCATGTTTATTTCCTGAGAAGTGTAACTTATAAATAAATACTATGGGGCACATTTGCATGTTTTAGTAGGGAATGATATTTATATATTTTTAGCTGCGAAACTAATGATTGAATTTGGGCTGAAGAAAGAACACAGAACTGGGATCAAGCTAGAATTCAGAGGAAAAATTGTCACTGCAGTCACATAGGTGAAGGCCCCTTTAAGAAAGTGATTCTCTAATCACAGCAGGCACCATTATTTTAATGGCAAGGTTCCCAGGTATTCTATGGTGGGATACAGTGTCCCCTAGGAATGTCAGAGCTTTTTTTTTTTTTTTAAAGATATATTATCAGAAACAAACATGGCAATCGATCAAATTTATTTGTGAGTAAAGCAAAATAAATGTGACTTAATGGAAAATCTTCAAGTAAATCAGGTGATGAACATCTTTAAAAACCATATGTATTTATATTTCACTCTCTTTCTTGTTCCTACATTTAAATTTTGGGAATGTCTTTGCTTTTACCCCCTTAAAGAAAAACACTTCCCAGGGTACTGCAATTTAGCCACAGCAAAAGAATGGCTTATCCCATGGCAGTCTGCTCTGAAGCCATCACACAGTTGTTTACATGAAATGCCTTTGCTGCAGAGCCTCGCAGTATCTTACAGCAGTCCTGCCTGCTTCTGTTGTGTTGACTCTAACTTTCATGAAAAGAACTAAAAGATGCAGGCTAAGTCAGAAGGAGCAGGTTAATAGAAGGAAAATGGGTAGAAACGCATTAACGTACAATTTCCACCTCCATCCCTAATCCTGGAAAGTCTCATAGAATGCTGATTGACACACTGAAAATGGTTGCAGGAATGACCATTCCTCTGAGAGCGGTTTTGGTAAATTTCCTACCATAGGTAAGCTTCTATGTAAATATAGACTGTGATGCTCATGAATGAGCCCACAAGCTTCCTGCTCACTTTGGAACCATTGACTGTTAAAAGCTGTTCAACTGGGGGGCTATTTCAGTTTTGCTGCTTCTGGTATGTATTCCCCTCTCTTTCCTGATTTTACTCTTGATATTAACATGAAGTACCAGATTAGCTTGTTGTATCATGTGGAGCCAGCTGTTTTTTTCTCTCCCCTACCACGGAACGAGAAAATCATATGACAAAGGTGGTATGACCTTTGATATTACAGAATCTTCATGCTTCCTTCTTTGCATATCACTCTTTCTTGTTGCAGCAAAGTAGCTTTAATTTGATGGGCTCCTGTCCTTACAAAATCTTTGCAAATTCTGTGAAAAGACTCCTGATGACAAGGCAGTAAGAAATTAACATGTAGAGTGGAAAAATCAGCTGCCTCCAGCTTCCTGTTTGCTGGCTCCAGAACAGCATCTGCTGTTGGGAGGAGTGTGTTTACCATGCTGGAAAGGGATGTTTATGAACAGATCCCAGAGGGACCGAATGTGTTTTTGCTGTCATTGTCTGGTATGTGTGCAGCTATTAGTGTTTAATGGTTTCATAGTCAGTGGTCAATGTTTTTCAAGGTTAGAAAGAACTGAGAGTTGATCAAAGATGCTGTAATATGTATGTATATTTTATATGGACAGAAAAATGTACAGGATTTCCCTTGTCAGTATTTTCTGTAGGAATATTATAAGCACAAGGAATCTTCTTATTATATATTATGTTTAAAGGCATATGTATGTATATTTACGTTTTATTATGCCTTTATGTAGATGAATTTATTTCTTTGGATGTAATCTTAGTTACAAAGTCTTTAATACTGGTGATAAAAGAAAAAGACAAATAGGTTTTGTTTGTTTCCTTGTTAAACGTGCCAACAGATGCTCTTCCTTCTGGCTCTAGTCCTGCCTTTAGGTCACATTAGTAGCTAAAGGACTTTTAGTGAAATTGCTGTGTTCCAATTGAAAGATTACTTGGTTGCTTATCAGAATAATGGGCTCAACTCAAGAGAGACTTCCTTCGATTTGAATAAGAAGTAAACAAATTAACATTTAAAATGCTTTCTCCTTTGCCCCTATTATTTCCTTTTGTAGTCTCTCAAGCTTTTGATTTGATGTTGTAACACTGATGAAAACAAAACAAAAATACCAAACCAAACCACAAATCTGACACCAAATAACAGATGCCCAGTAATAACAGAAATGGACTAAGATGCTGTATTTGCTGCAGGCTTTCTGAGGGCCCCTACCTCTCTTTCTACCCCTTCTGCGTCTATTATACCTTGTTCTGTGCTGTCTAGGACTCAGAAAAAGTTGGGCTTATAGATTCTTGGTAAAAAGGAATATAATGAGTTTTGTTACTTTTGCACAGTAGATGTATTTACTGTATTACATAAGTCTGAGACAAGACACTGTAGTGCTGATTCAGATAAAAGATCATATGCTGCATATTGATTTTTGAAAGAGAAAATGCAATTTAGAATTGGAGCCCAGTTTTCAGAAATCCACCTATCTGTACATATTTCCCTAGCAAAGTTGTACAGTTTTTGACTAAGATTTTTCAGTTTGGGTACATTTTATCCTTTTGAACAAATCAAGGCAAAGAAGAGAAAAATGGAAAATCTGTTTTGGGTATTCGTTGTTTCTGTATTTAGTGATTTAGTGGAGGAAAGCTTAATTTCTTGTTGAGAATCTTGGGGAAAACACTGCTAATTGGAAACTCCAGGTGTTTTTGTTAGGGGCCAATGAGTCAGTTCCGACTCAGAGCGACCCTGTATAGGGTTTCTAAGGAGTGACTGAGGAGTTTGAACCCCCAATTTCTGGTTCAAATAGACCTTGCGTGGTACAGTGCTTTATCCCACAGCATCACACTCCCTGGGTAATATTAAAGATCCTTAAATGAAAACATGTTAGGTTTGAAAACTGGGCCTCAAACTTACACTTACTTTTGATAAGGAATTTTGCAGTTTAAATCATGTTTAGAGTCATAACAAGTCACTATAATCTTTCTCCTCATTCTTATCCTTGGTAACTATGAGATGTGCAGTTCATACGCTTATTGTGTTAATGCTCCTAGGAATGGGAATTGAGGTTTGAATGGAAAACAGTGGCTGGTGGTTCCACAGAAACACTCCTAACCACAACTGCTCTCAGACCCTGTGTGGGGTGCTGGGTTAGTTGTACACTGGGTCCTTATGAGTTGACATGACTCCATGGCACCTAACAATTACAACCCTACAGGGCAATAGGTCATTTGAAGAGTGGCTTGCTTGGTAACAAACAATATTTTCCTTATGTTTTCACGGTGAGAATTGAAAACAACAGCAGTGACCTTAAAGTCTTATAGCGTCATCTTAGAGACTTGTCTTCATAGAAGCAAACCTGCCTCCTGATTTGTAAATATTAATCTTCCTGAGTACTCTGTATGCTTCCTGAACATGGGCTCCTTAAAATAACTGTCATCTTCTCTTACATGAGAGTAGAAGAAAGATGAGGCTTTCTTCTCCCACAAATACTTAGCCTCGGAAACTCTACCTATGCAGGGTCACTATGAGTCGGGACTGACTCAATGGCATGGAACAGCAACAACTTGCATGGGAAATAAGATATGAAAATATTGACAGTGCAGTAAAGCTCTTAGGTGTGTTTATTCGTCTGTGTTGTGAAACAGTGTCTGCACATCTTCCACAATGGCACTTTTCACACATTATAGTAATTGCCTCTCCAGTTATTCGTGTCTTCCAGTGGAGTTACTCCATGGTGCAAATAGTTGATGTGCTTTGCTGATAACTGATAGGTTGGAAGTTCAAGTCCATTCAGAGGCCCCTGGAAAAAAGGCCTGGTGATCGACTTCTCAAAATACAGTCGCTAAAAATCCGATGGCGCACGATTTGAATCTGACACATATGGAATTGTTATGAGTCAGACCTAGATGGCAGCTGGTACGGGCTGTTGTTGTTGTTAGGTGCCATTGAGTTGGTACCAACTCGTAGCGACCCTATGCACAACAGAATGAAACACTGCCCAGTCCTGGGCCAACTTCAAAATTGTTGCCACGCTTGAGCCCATTGATACTGCCATTTTGCCAATCCATCTTGTTGGGGGTCTTCTTCTATTTCTTTGATCCTCCAACTTACTAAACATGATATCCTTCTCCAGCGACTGGTCCCTCCTGACAATATGTCTGAAGTATGAGAGACAAAATTTGGCCATCTTGGCCACCAAGGAGCACTCTGGCTGCACTTCTTCTTTTGGCAGCCCATGGCACTTTCAATATTCTCCTCCAACACCATAATGCAAAAACATCAGTTCTTCTACGGTCTTCCTTATTCACTGTCCAGCTTTTGCATGCATATGAGGTTATTGAAATACCATGGCTTGGGTCAGGCACACCTTAATCCTGGTACTGGTATCCTCCACTAAATCGGAATATCTGTCAGGGAGTCACTATGTCAGTCTGGCATAGTAAACCCAAATCAATCCAGCTGACACTGAGTCAGTTCTGACTCATGGTAAGCCCATGTATTTCAGAGTAGAAATGTACTGTATAGAGTCTTCATGCCTGTGACTTTCTGGTAGCAGATCACCAGAACTTTCTTCTGAGCTACCTCTGGTTGGGTTTGAGGCACCAA